CAGTAGCGTAGTCTCCCAGCTATTCTCTGGAACTCCCAAACTAATTCCTTCATGGGACGACTAGCCTGTCACAATTCCTGGATCTGGTCTTTGGCATCCACATTTTGGGCCATATTGCTAAACCTGGAGTGCATCAGTTGGATGAACCCATTTATATCATCTAGCTCAGGAGCTGCTTACTCGTGGACCTCCGCTATCTACTGCACGGCCTCTTTTTCATTCATCCCCTCTGCTATTTCTTGGATCAACTCTCGATCAGATGGGTATTGTGACCCCACTTGATCAACGTACGCCCATACTCGATTCAGGAAATAAGCCAGCTTATCTGGGGTCCCATCGAATGTTGCATGAAACCGTGGGGGTGTGGGAGGAGGGGGCGCTGGGGGTGGTAAGCCCTTCTGCTGGCCCACACCCCTCAGTTGGGCAAAAGCCAGTGGAGGTGGTCCCATTCCCTGGGTTTGCCCAGGAGCAGTTATCTGGGAAGACGCCATCTTCTGGAAGAGGGCAGGCATCCATTGACATTGAGCCCATCCATGACCCAGGATGAACGCCCACCCTTGGTTTCCTTGATTCATGGGTTCAGAGTCACCCCTTTGCAGCTGTGGGGAGGTGAATGTGTCCCAGGCCCCTTTCTGCCAGCTAGATTGACCTCCCCTATTTGGAGGGGGGGTCTGGTTGCCCTCCAGAAGGAGGGAGGGGTGCTGATGTGACTGATCTTGGCATTACCCCAGCAGTAAGGGTGTGGGTTGATTCATTAGTTACTGTGTGGAAGGAGCCAAGATCTCCACTCCACTGTGTAGCAATTTCTCTGCTAGGAAAGGAGAATGTGGGCAGTGCCAGGTTCCACTTAGGGGTCCCTGAAGAGGGGAGGGTTTTTATTTCACTCACGTTTAGCCATAGGAAATGGTCTGGAAGGCCCATTAGAGAAGGACTGCGTGAGGGTGGCTGAGATCTCCATTCATCAGATCTTCTGGCCATCATCCAGTCATCTGTCGGAGTTTTCCTGGCAACCCCCTCTCCTTCTAACAGGCATTCCTTAGAAGTCATAAATCTTGAGGCTTCATCTCGGACCTCCTTTCACTGGGCTCCCAGCTGAGATTCCCTTTCCTTAGCCTCTGCAGCTTCAACTATCTCTTTAGAAGGCACATAGTGAGTCTTGGCAAATATAAGTGATCTGTTATCTTTGGCTTTCTCAGCTGCATTTTTTTCTTCCTCCATCTTCACTAAATTTTCGTACTGCCCAGGGTTGGGTCAGAACTGGGATTCAGTACCATCTGACAGCTTCCCAGCTTGGGATGCTGATAACTTACCTTAAGGGAGAATTGGGATAATGTCAGCCTTCCAAGTACCATGTAGAATTAAATCAGAGTCCAAGGCAAAACCATCCTTAAAGTTCCAATTTAATAAAGCAGACATCTTAGCACATCTGTGTTAATCCCAATTATGGAAATGA